GATAATTACTGAAATTGTGAACAAGCTCCAATGAAGTAAAGGGTGTTCTAATAACATGGACCGATTTTAAATGTAAATTAATTTTTCAGCATCTAATGATTTTTTTCTTTTTCTTTCAGATTTAACAACTTAAGTCTTTGGTAATTTCAACCATGGAAAAATTAACAATGAAACAATGTGTTAAAGTTATCGAAGCCTATTACGAAAATGGACGTTCAAACAGAATTTGAATGAGAAGTTCCCAGCTCGCATCATCTCTCGAAACAGCAAAGTCAATTGTCCAACGCGACTTGACGCCTTTAGATTTCTTCCTTTGGGGTCATCTTAAATGTAAGGTCTATGCCAATAAGTCAACAACAGTTCAACAGCTGAAGGATGGCATATTGGTGAGATCGAGGAGTAACTATGCAGAGACGGCATCAAACATTTTGACCATTGAATGGAGGTGTGCCGCCGAAATCTTGGCGGACATTTGGGCGATATTATTTTTCACACATTATTACCATGAATTAAATAACACGATTCAATAGAGAAATAAATAAATTGTCACCAATAACACTGATTTATTTACTGCTGACTTTGATCCGTCTTAATGAAACACCCTTTACATTAGTGAAATTACTAGAAATTTAGGTAAGAGTTTATAAGAACATAAGTGAGATCTTTTACTAAAAAATACACACAATACATTAGTCGTTCATCGTGATAGGTCTAAACATAAGTGCAGTGTAACCTGGATATAAGAGACCCGGATATAAGAGAAACCCGGATATAAGAGAGATTTTCTCTGGTCCCAAATTAGAGCCCATACTTACCTAAAGAAAATAGACCAAACCCAGATATGAGAGAAACCCGGATATAAGAGACTTCTTCTCTGGTCCCGACAACTCTCTTATATCCGGGTTACACTGTACAACTTAAAAAAAGAAAGAAAATTATTAACATGAAAAATGTATTGAAAATGCAACTATTCTTTGAATTCTTGGTAAATTTACGTCCGCTATCATACGATATATCTGCTTACTCACATAATTACTACCAATACAATGTGGGAAATATAAATATATATATATATATATATATATATATATATATATATAATTATTTAAAAAAAAAAAATTATAACATAATGATGATTAAAATAAAAGGTTTTATTTTCAACATCATCACTTGATAAGACACAGAGTGTGTTGAAACAAAATGGCTATTTTTGTAGTGATTTTATAACATACTTATGTTATAATTTTTTTTTTTTTATAAAAAATAATTATATCTGCTCTACTTTGTATTGAGCACTCTTTTAAGAATAGTAATTGTTGGTTATTGGAATTCATTCCGTATATACCAATTATATACTTGTATATATATATATATATATATATATATATATATATATATATAACGGAATAAAAAAGAGCGATGAATGATTGAGTTACAATGGACATGGGAATAGAAATTAAAAGGTTGAACGTGTTTATATCTTTAACGAATAAGTATCCTTTAAAGGCAAATAAAGCTTGCATTTATTGTGAAGCTCTTCGTAGTCGAGAAGTCGTTTGGACTCTTGCAAGAGGCGACGCAGGTTCAAATGTTACCGGAGGGCAGTTTTTCTTTAGTAAGTCTTCCCCGAGTGTGCAGACGAAATAAAATAGAATTTAAAATAGACAGCAGAACGTCTAATCAGATACGGGTATCCACTAAAAATAAAGTTTGAATTAATGAATATATGCAAAAGAAAAGGCAAGAGAAAATATCTTTGTAGTTATATTTTATGCATATCTGAATTTTTACAACAGCCCCCTCCCCGTAGATACACACACACACACGCGCACACACGCGCGCGCACACACACACACACACACACATATATATATATATATATATATAATGATAGTCTGTTTTTGTTTACATGGAAGATTTCCAAGCAGCGATAAATTCGTGCATACGAGACGCTGGAAGTGAAAATCGCAACGCAGCTCATGACGTCACACATGACCACGCGAGAGTGAATTCGAGAAGTATTAAGTATGGGAAGCCGTTGTTATAAACCAATGGCTTCTGTTATCAATTATAGGCATTTAAGAATACTAGATGATGATACTATCATACAATGTCTAGTCCCTTTCTTGGATCTCGCGTGTGAATACTGTATATATATATACTTCGGAGTTTGTCTCGCAAGATCTGTTACGACTGAGCACTGAGTTCGATACGTTCAGCCTTGTACAGGGAACAAAGCTACTCTATATATGTTTGCTGTGCGTGTATATATAAGAAAACGAGAGAAAAATGCCTTCGCAGGTATATTCAAATTAATTTTTACAGAAACAAACACACAGACACACACACACACACATTACGTTCAGACGAAGGCGTATCAATAATTATATGATGGAAAAATAGCATTTATTTAATTATTTTTTTATACAATAAATATATTTTTTCTCTTGTATTCTCGTTTTTTTTTGTCAATGACTATTAATCATCCTTAACGATTCTGACATAATGAAAATTACAGATAAAAATTTAGCTAATGACTAGATGAAGGGTTTGGATTTGATATACACTAATCTCTCCTCTCTCTCTCTCTCTCTCTCTCTCTCTCTCTCTCTCTCTATATATATATATATATATATATATATATATATATATATATATATATAAAAAATAATAAGAAATAATAGTAAGATTTATAATCCGGTGTTCTTAGCAACTATTTTATTTAAAAAAACAGTGCTTGATACAAATAGTAGACCATAATATTATAATATAATAATTATAATATGATATTGTATATATATATATATATATATATATATAATTATTTATAAAGAATTCATAGTTTTATTTTTTAATCAGACATATTTTGTAAAATTATATTAAAATATGTGATATAAAAAAATCAATTAATTCATTAGAAATTTCTTTGTTTACGCTTCGAGTAAAAAAAAAGCAATAGCAGTTATGAGTTTTGATGAAATCTGAACAAGCAAAGTGTGCGTCCAAGGCTAATAGAACCTTGCTTAATCATGAAGCTCTTCGTGGCTGAGTGGTTAAAGAACGCCGGTTTAAACGGCGGTTTTCTTTTAATTTCTTGTTATACTCTCTAACACTCAGTAACCACTTGCGTCCTAATGTCTGTATACGGACAGCCATCTTTCTTTTAGAGATATTTTATTGAATATGATGGAAAAAGGAATATTTTACAAGTTTTCCATTCAGTTTTTTTCTGGTGTCGTTAAAGTTTTTTTTTTTTATGGTGGCAAAGAGAGTCTAAAATTTGTACATGATGATTATTGTCCCAAGCTTCTTCGACAAATTCATTAGTCATTTTCAAATGGTTCGTTGTTAGTATATATTCCTATGTTTATGTTCTAAGTTGTATTTTAAAGAAGTAGTTGTAATTTTAATCTCTGTGCTGGATGAGAGTAGTAGTAATTTCCCACCCCCCAACACGTGCACACACACACGCATATATATCTGTCTATGTTCAAAAATAGGTTTATATTAGACAGATTTATCGACATACAGTCGTATTCGTACATTTCTGTGTACTATATAAGGCAGACTGGCATATATATATATATATATATATATATATATATATATATATATATATATATATATATATATATATATATATATATATGTGTGTGTGTGTGTGTAAATTATGTGTGTATGACTGGATAAATTGGGTATTATGACTGGATAAATTGACAGATAAATTCGGAATGATTTGAGGCGTAGGTGAATCGATGCATAAAATAGAAAATACCTGGGGAGCGAATTTAATATCACGTCAATTCCAAACCCTTATTTATCACGTCTTTTGTTCATTTGTCTTTTTATTGTTAATTAAATAGACTATGGAGCTCTTTATTCTTTTCTCAATTTCATCTTCATGTCAATTACAGTTCTTTTATTTTTCCTTTATTTCAATCAAATAGAGTGAAACAGAGACAGTAAGAGAGAGAGAGAGAGAAAGTGAGAAAGAGAGAGAGAGAAAAAGCGGACTATCTATCTATCTATCTATCTATCTATCTATCTATCTATCTATCTATCTATCTATCTCAGTCTGTTCCAATCTATCTATCTATCTATCTATCTCAGTCTGTTCCTATCTATCTATCTATCTATCTATCTATCTATCTATCTATCTATCTATCTATCTGTTTGTCTGTCTGTCTGTCTTGTTAGCTCGTGGACATTTCTTTTTGTCGAGAGGTAGTTAGTATATTGGTATATAAGACATTCTAGTTGTCTTGAATTGTATATTTTGCGAGCTATTAAGAATAGTACTCGCTAGCGATTATTTCTTTAAATTCCTACTCAAGAGACTTATGCAAGTGGTTGTCCGTTGATCTGAAAATATAAAGAAGGGTTGTTTTTTCTTGCTTCTTTAGGGACGTCAGAGTACCTAAACAAGCAAAAAAAAACAAAACAAAAAAAACAAAAAACAAAAAACAACTCACCCCCCCCGCAAAAACCGCCAAAAAACAAAACAAACTAAACAACCCTTCTTTATATTTTAAATGCGGCATGATTAGGTTGCAATTATCGTTTAAAACAATATTACAATAACAGACTTTAAAAAATCTGTTTAATCATTTTTCTGATGTAGCCTTTGGCAAATGCGATTTTTCAGTGTAGAAAACTTGTCCCCAAATCATTTTGTGTTATCCCAAGCCTTTAGCTCAGACGAGTCGAAGAGAATGTGGATGATTCGATTCTGTGTATGTGGCGTGGCACATTTTATATGGGAAGGTCTGAACTGGCGGAACTAAGTAATGTAGTTTCTAAGGAAATAGCGATAGAGAAGTGCTGTTTCGTCTGTGGGAACGATTTGTCGCCCATAATGATGCGAGGAATTTATATAAATAAAAGGATTTTATCAAAATATGATTGAATCTGTTTTTATCAAACCAGTACGCATTCTTGTGGTGTGTTTTACTTTTTGATTCCTAGAAGGTTCGGGATGTAGCATAAATTTGTCAAAGAAAATATACGAGGTCAACAGATTTTGTCATCATTTTCCCGCTTGCATCGGAATATGCAACTTGCACAACTGAAGGATTATTCATGGCTAATGTATCTCCACAGGTGACCCAGGTGGGAGGGGGTTGATCATATCGAATCACAATATCTAGAATGGTCTCTAATCAAGGCTATAGAACCCAGTCTGTCCTGCTTTTTAATCTATAACTGGCGGAGAAGAGATGAACTCATACCTTTCTTATGGTTTGGTCTGGTTTGTTTAACGACATATGAACTTCTTCATGGGTCATTTAATACCAAAATTTAATTTTTCTTGGGAGCTTTGGTAATTTTTTCCCCAAAAATGTATTGATGGTAATTTTTATGTTCCTTTTTCAATAATGGTTTGTTGGTAAATGTTTTTTTTTACTATGATGGTATTCTTACTACAAAAATGTGTTTTTATACTTTCATAATATTTTGACCCCAGTTTGGGGGTTCACTATTTGCCCATAGCTGGGATCCAAACAGGGGCTACTACCCCAGCGATTAAGAGATGGTTCCACGCTCTTCAGAACCTCCCAATCAGAGGACTTGTTGCCGGAAGTAGTTCTTCGTCATAGCCAGGACCACCTTTCTCGTGGGTATTTGTGAGTAAGTGAATTTACGAATTCGCCTAGATTTCGAACTCGGCTCTTCGAGTTCTCATTCAGAGCCGCAATCCGCATTACACCACACACGCATTTTTGCCCAAACCAACAGGTATTTGGGCCAGCGCGGTTGGTTAATTTACCCATTCCCCCACATGAACGGCAAAAGGTGGCAAGAGCTGGGGAGGGCTTTCACAGGCTGAGAAGAAACAGATTTTGAATTTTCGATAAAGTTTCTTAAGCTTAATTCGTACTAAAGCCGTAGAGCAGTGGTTCTTAAGCCGCAAGGGGACCCTGGTAAATTTTATGGAGATTGGTATAAAAATTTTAGATTTGTATAAACATTTTCCTTGGGTGCAGTTAAATTCAACAAAGTCAAAGACAGACACACTTGAAGAAGAGAAACAACTCAACAACAGTATTAAATTCTAAGGTTTAATGTACAAACGAGTGCATGCACAAATAGATAAAAGGCTTGCAGATAGAATTTATATCTGCGGACTTAACTGCTAGAAGAAGGTTCAAGGAACAACTGAGACTTGCGGTCTCGTGGCTACCGGACTCCATTAACGTCGGAAAGGACGGTTCCGATAAACGTGTGGTCATTACAGCTGTTACTTTGCAAAAGCGGAAGATTTCAGGTTCAAGATGGGTCCCGATTGGACAGTAGTTAGCCAATCAGATTCCCGGATTAGTAAGAGTTTCAAGTTTGAATGGTAAAGGGTTAGCTCCCTTTACTATCACTTTCAAATACTCATATTTGGAAGGGTCATTGAAAGGTGCCAGTGCTACAACACTGTTGCCCTCTATATTTTAGTTCTGTTCTAATAAACTTAAATTATATAATAAAATAATTTTCAAGTGTCTTTTATGTTACAAGTGAACATTTACGTAAAGTTTATGCGCAGAGACTTTTTAATTTTGCGTAACTATTTTTTACTTTGCAGACTTTTAAAATTTGTGTATGGATTTACGTGCAGAACTTTTTTTGTCGAAATAAATGTGTATTTCATTTAATTGGTTTGGTTTTTAAAACAAATAGTTTTGATGTTTATATGAAGAAATAACACTGTTAACAATGAGCTTTTGTTAAGGTAAACGGCTAGGAGTGGGGGCATAAAAAAACAAAAACAACAAAAAAACATCAGTCAAAATGGAGCCCTGAATAGAAAAAGGTTGTAAATATCAATGGAGTAGCAATGGGGACACCTCTCAGTACGATATGTTAAAAATATAAACCCACGAAACGGCTAGGAGGGGGGCATAAAAAAACAACAAGCAAAAAAAACATCAATCAAAATGGAGCCATAAATAGAAAAAGGTTGAGAGCTACTACCAGAGAGAGAGAGAGAGAGAGAGAGAGAGAGAGAGAGAGAGAGAGAGAGAGAGAGAGAGAGATTCATTAATTTTCTTCCCCCGGCTTCTCTCAATGCTCTGCCCCATCATCAAATATCTTGACAAAATTCCTGGTTCTTGCCAAAGAAGAGAGCGGGTGAGTAGGCATCTGGGCTAATCACTCTCCCATATCTACTTTACCTCGCCGGGTAATTGCAATAAAAAGCTGTTACCATAATAGTCAACCTCGACAGAAGCCATTAATAATAAACTCGTTTCAAAACGACTTTTGCTTCCGGACAACCGAATATAAAAAAAAACAAGTCGAAGTTACAAAAGACCAGTAGAATTCTTTTAGCGCGAAACTCTTGCATATATTGTCATCTTCAGTCTATTATATGGCTTGTAAATTTTTGTTACGTTTCTCTTTGTAGCTTCCGCCCGACCCTGTTTCCTGACTTCACTTGAGCAAGGAGAATTAGCCGGATAGAAAGGCCGTGTTTACACAGGCAAGCCAACAAAACACAGTCTGCAATTTAACAGCTGGGGCGGATGACTGAATAGGAAACTGACGTGAGCAGAAAGAAAAAGACGAAAAATATCACTTGAGATCCTTTGATGAGAAAAGTCTACTAAAAAACCATTAAATCTTCGGGTTAGTGATTAAGAGACAAACTTCGGGGGCGATTGGCTTGTCGGGCTCCCGAGATAAAGCTCTGGGCAATGGAGGCGCTTTTGTGATAATCAAAAAACGCAGGACGGTCGAAATGAAGAAGAGAAATAGAGAAAGTAACAAAAAAAAAAAAAAAAAAAAAATAATAAAGAAGAAGAAAAAAATGACCAGGGAGGAAGAAGAAAGAAAAAAACGGGAGAAAAAAGAAAGAAAGAAAGAATAAAAGTAATATAGAAAGAAAAAAAATATGCGAAAGAACGAAGAGGAAGAAAAAGAACAGATTAGCAAGAAAGAAAAAAATAGAGGCGATAGAAAAGAAAGAATAGAGACGATAGATCTTGGGAAAGAAAGAAAAGAAAGAAATGAGAAAAAAGAAAGTAAACGATATAAAAAGAAAGAATATTAACTAGAAAGAAAGAAAGAAAGAAAGAAAGAAAGAAAGAAAGAAAGAAAACGAATAGCAATAAACGAAAAAAGAAAAACAATACGATCAGAGGTCATATATAAAAAGAAAGAGTAATGACTATTGAGAAGAAAGAAAGACGGATACAGGCGAAAATATAGAATGTAAATAAGGAAAGAGAGAGAGGGAGAGAGTGCAAGAGAGAAGTGTGGAAGAAGTATCGGAGGAAAGAAAGAAAGAAAAAGAAAATGAGATATAGACTCTGGAGGAGAAAAATGTTAGAGAGGGAGAGAGAGAGAAGAGAGAGGGAGAGAGAGAAGAGAGAGAGGTGAGAGGTGAGCGGTGAGCGGGGTTAAGACATATCCGGAAACACCTGTCCACACGTATTACTTACAGACATTTAGACAGGAACCCTCGGGTTGATTACCTTTCAATCTTTTGTAATCAACTGTTCTTCTCCCACGCTAACGGAAGCCGCCGAGCAAGACAGTGCTCAACAAATAAATCCTTGTGTCAGACTAAATTCAGATGTGTAACTATCAAGTTACTCTGCTCCTTTCGGTTTGTTTACTCAGACGGTATCAAGTCTGTTGTAAAAAAACAAAAAACAAAACAAAAAAACAATAACAAAAAAAAAAAAAAAATAACAGAATATTGAATGGTGATTGTTTCATTTCAGCAGACAGTCTCTATTCGTATTGAACACTGAAGATGCGCAGTCTTCCTACTTACTATCATATTCCTATATAGATATACATATAGATATAAAATACACATTGATATTTAGCTTTCTATGATTGAATTCGTAAATAATTATATAGGCCACACTACAACATATTTGACTGTCATATTCAATGAAATGTGCATGAAAGAATGATTGCTGCTTAAATTCGCTTGAGGATGAAAATGGAACTAATGTCTTTAATTTAATTACAAAATTAAATTCGGAGCTTTCAGCTTCCATTTTTGAAACATGGTTAGAACTGTGTAGCGAAAAAAAAAGCATATTTTAAATCAATTAATTTATAATATTAATGCTCTGTAAACTTACTTTGAGCACTATTTTGTAAAAATAAAAATATCTATAAGAACACCGGATTATATATCTTACTGTTCTTTCTTTATATATATATATATATATATATATATATATATATATAAGGTTATTTTTGTTGGCTAAGATAGTTTTACTGTGTA